AAATATACATGAATAATCCCAAATATATTTCTATTAATTTTTCGAAACATTTTCCAACCATATTTATACGTTTTATATATATATATATATTTATATATTAGAATTCAGAATGCACGTGAATCGTAATGAATTATAATGGAAATATCATTAATAAAAAGTAATTGTCTGTAATGGCTAATAAATATATACCTACAAAATTATTATTATTATTGTAGCTAATCTTATTATTGTTAGTTGTGTACGACTCAATTCGGATGCAAACTCAAGGAGATCCGATCTGTCGATTACGATTAACAAAAGTTAAGTCCGCGGCGAAGATCAGCGTCTTAATCATGATGTCCGCCCTAAAAGGAAGTTGGCCAGTCACGAGAACGAAGGTCGCATGTAGCATCCCCCGTCGGAGTAAAATTTTTCTCTCGAAATTATCATCTCTGCGCGAACGGCGACGGTTACGAACAGACCGATCGAAGTAACCGATAACCATTTAATGCGCTCATTAAAATAAAATGTAAATCGTACCGCACGCTGGTCCAAGGTCTGCCGCCGTTAGCACCGTTTAAAACGTCACTCCGCCCGAGTCAGGATGAAAATAAAACGAAACGTAGCGTAGGAGATCATAAGTCGCTGCAATTAATATCCGGCGGCCCGCAATAATCTCTCTCTCTCTCTCTCTCTCTCTCTCGGTACAGGATCCCCGAACGCGAACACAATTCACCGCGAGGGAAAATCGAGAGAGAAATAGAGAGATGGACAGGGAGTAAAAGAGAGATGGAGGAACACAGGGGGGAGAACACGAGAGAGAGGGAGACCTCCGATTTTTGCGACGTTTTTGCAATCTGCACAGCAACTTTGTTATTGATGGCCGCAATGTTGAGCGCGCAGAATAAAGAAGGTAGGCGTTTCCACCCTCGGTTTCGCCTCGCGAATCCCGCGAAACGATCTCCACGGACGTTTTTCACTTTATGAGGTTGTTGCTTGCGAGGCACAGCCTCCGAGGTACTAAGGTAGTGCCGTCGTCGCGATTCGAGACCCGTACATACGCCGCTCGTCGTCTTGTAAAAGTCAATATTTATGAGGGTGCTAACCACCGTCATCGCTCATCCCGACTCGTTAGCCGGCTCTCCGCCGGCGCGGCTTTGTATTTACATCCGAAGGACAGGCATCCTCTCTTTATTGTCCCTAAAGAAAACACGTCCACCGTTGCGCTACATGTCTGTGGATCCTACTGGCGGTTGCCGCTCTGTTGAATGGGACCCGGGACCAGAAATCGCATCCGTTTATCAGCATATATTCGTACGCGCTGTCAGTCGTCGACTTACTTTCAGAAAACACGCGAATTGTCTAATTTAAATTCATCGAACCCGACTTACGTGGCTTTGAGATTCAACTTTTACTTATTGATCCGCGGTTGCAAGTTGGAATGGAAATGAGAAATGACAGAAAGTTACTGATTCAGCTAATTCAACTTGATTCAAAAGTGTTTGCTATCGAGCTGATTGCTCTTGAAAAATGTAGCCATTGCTGCAGTAACATCGCACTTTTTTTATTTAAAAATGATAGCCCGTGATGAGTTATAATTTAAATAGACATTATATTCTTAGATTGTCTCTATAACTATGTACAATTTACATTTAACTGAAACCATGTACACTTAATATGGCAAGTAGATAGGCATATCGTAGTATATTCATTTTTTACTTTGTACTTAAGACTGTATACTTTCTCTCGATTACGATTTCTATATCGAAGCACTGATAATTTCTCGATAATAAACGAATAAAAATGATTTTTCTGAATTTAACTTCTAACACTACACCGATACTTTCTACTTTCATTTGATCTTAGAATATTGTTTAATCAACATTTTAATTCAAGGCTTGATCACTAAAACATTTCATAATAAAATCGTACATATCAAAAGACACTTTATACTGGTTTTATTAAATAATGATTGGATTCTTAAAATATCGATCTTAGAAGGAAGGATCAATAATATCAGGGCTCATACTGGTGTCCGACTTATCGCAGTTTCAATTATTTATAGCACACATTCAATCATTTTTATACCCGGTTTCATCAATGCAATTCTTAGAGTTAAAAAAAGAGTAGAGTAGTCTTAGAATTAATGAAAGAGTTGAACCAAGATTAAAATTAATATTACATTGGTAGAACCAGGCCTTAGCATTTGTCACATTTTTTCTGTTTCTCTCAGAAAGGTTGCGGTGACTCGTGCTATGAATTGTGACACACGATGGATGGAGAAAGGCTTCGCAAAAGTAACAGGTGTCTAGCAAGGTAAGTCAGTTCACGTGCCGCCATCTCCCACGAAGTTGCTCAACGTACCTTTCATTTACTCGGGTCTAATCCGTCGATAAGAACGCTCATGCGTTCAGTAACGTATAGCGCAAACCGTAGATCTCGTACTTACATTTAAATCTTACGTATCTTTTCAGATGTTGTACGATTCGATATTTCAAAGCTGATTCATCGCTACTCTTGCGATTTTACATATGTCGCCTCGAACTCGATATGCGAAATTTGCATCGCAACGTAATTGTATTACTCACCCGCTGGCAATGCTCTGCGCTGACTCGCGACAGATCTGCGAAAGGTTGAAAGATAACATCGTGAAATTCGGGGTAACTTCGTGCCAACGGACGTGCGTACAATTCTTTGGCGCTGCACAATACTTCATGATACTCTTCTTCCGCGTGCAACAACTTCTCTGTAGCTCTATACCTGCGATCTGTGTCTGCGAAACAATTTCAATTCGATTTCGTCAGAATGACATTGTATCAGCGATCATCTTCACATGGATAATAATTAAACAAATATCTTGTACTATAAATCTTAATTAAACCTTTAAGTCACAATTTAACAAACTTCATTTCTCTCCCCCCCCCTCTCTCTCTTTCTCTCTCTCTCTCTCTCTCTCTCTCTTAAAATTAAGAAATTGTATGATGTAAGAGAAATCAAGGTTGTATGTAAAATATGTAAAAAGCAAGGATTAATTACCTCCGATTGCATTGAATTGCCTTGCAGAATCCTCGATAAGTAAAACTTCGCCATGTAGAAGAGCTACATCGGCCGCAGGATCGACTTCAGCCCTCGAACCAGCAAGCAGCAATCGAGGTCTGCAAACTCGATATTTCAAAAGTATCGGGGCGACCACAGAAGAAACAGCTCCAGGCGATGAAGCTGATAACTGTAATTAATAAAAAAAAAAAAACAAACGAATTATTGCACAAGAATATCGTTAATTATTCTCGAATCAAACAGTCATTGAATTTATTTATTTCACTGCACGGATAGAAATCTTCCCTCAAAAATTTTAGTTCCTTATATATCTCCAAAGACCTTAACGTAATATCACAGAACTTGTAATTTACGTAATTTACATGTAATCCGCAATCACACTTTACCAAATAAATAAACAATAGAAATTCATACTTATTATCCCACCTCTAAGTACAATTAATGACAGAGACAGATCGCATTTAAATTAATGTGAAATCGAAAAATAGCCGAAAACAACAAAATCATTCTGTTAAATATGTCGGAAAATTAGATATTTTCTGCAAAATTGATTTGACAAAATCTCCTTTGTACGAGGAAGACCGGTCTGTTCGCGAGATGACAAGTTCGGAATGTCCTAATTACACGGGGGAAGGCTCGCCTTGTAAAAAGCGTCGGATGTCGAGACCGGACGTCCCATAACTTCGCACGGTAGCCCCGGCGGGTTAATCACCGAAATCTCGGTTGAGGAACGCGAAAACAGCGCATAATTAAACCGGGTCCACGCGATATTTACGATCTGACAATGCGGCGGCGTAAAAGGGGATCAGATAAATTTCGAGGGTCCGAAAATCTACATTGCAGAAGATCGTACGTCGACCTTTCAGTGGCCTCTCGCGGTCCACCACAATTCGTACACGTAGCGACTCCCCAAACGTTCGTTGCATCGTATATGAATATTTATAATATGATAATTGCGCGGTCATAATTCGCACGAATTCTTCAGGAATTCTGGTACAAGATGCAGTGGAAGTACAGTTGTTTTCTTACACAGCAAATTCACGATTTAACGACCTGGGGGTGATGGAGTTGTCAGTGTGAAACCAAGAGCTTCTTAAAGTATAAATTAACTCTTTCGAGTCTTTAGACGTACGTGCATTGTACAATATTCAAACAGGTAATCGTATTGTGCATTTCTATTGTTTTTCCACTTTTTCTCCAAGTGTCATGCTTTTATATTTAAGGTGTATTAAAATTAGTAATTGTTGGAATTTTTTTTGTTTTCAAGTTATATATATTGGTACAATTCGAGAAGTACTAACGGGAATTGTAGTTACAAGTGAAAATACTTATCTTTTTCGTGGACTTTAGAGAAGAAATATCGTGTTAGATTCGCGAAATTAGCGCACTATATTTTCAATTTGATTTTTCGATATAAAACTGGCGGAACTTTTTTTAATTTTTATAAGAAACTATAAAACTATGAAGAGAGAGAGAGAGAGAGAGAGAGAGAGAGAGAGAGAGAGAGAGAGAATGCTATTAAAACTGTTATTTTTTTTATATTAAAAGAATGTGCTAATTTCACAGATTCTATTATACATATATATATATATTTTATAGAAAATTTGTCTTCATAGAAACGACAAACGAAAGTTTCGTTTTTATTTTGCTATTTCCGCATTAATCTTTGATATTTCAAGATAAACATCTAGTGTAAAATAACAGTAAAAAGAAAATAGGATAATTTCCATAAGATTTCAGAAATGTTTCCATCAATGAGAATTTTTTACCTTTCCTCAAATTATCATTAGAATTTAAAATAATATTAATTAAAGTTTCTACGTAACTTCTTAAATTTTATATGTGCATTATTTCTTAAACTTTCTCTTTGGTTCAAAACCACTGGAAGATTACACGTAGATAAAAAAAACTGACAGACAAGAGTCCAGTTCTAATATTTTATATAAATCGTAAGATTTATATATATTTCACCGTTACATAATATGACAGTGGGAATCGAAGGTTAGGACAACACGTCGTTCTTATGTCACGTAACAAACGACCATTTTCGTGATTAAATGAGTGAGGCTGAAGCATCTTAATCAACACGATGAAAAACGGGAATGTAATCCTTCGTCGCATTACCGTTGCTTGTTGCCCGCCCAACCTTAGTTTACAATCTTATGAGTAACCTTATGCCATCGGTAACAATTTATCGATGCCCGTACAACATCGACAATGCAATTTAAGTAGTATTTTTGCGATATGGCTAATCGATATAATAGTAGAATTATCAAAGCATTGCCAGATTGAAAATTTACAGTCTGACGTCTGCAATTTTTATATATCAATATTTTATCGAATTTGAAGGAAAAAAATCATACAACTGATAATTTGCCATCATATTTAAATCTGCTTACACTCAAGTTTACATTTATTTATCTTCAGTTAGCTTGGAATCAAGAGTTCATATTTCTAATATATTTTGCTTCTATTCCGATAAAATATAATAATCACTTAAAATTTCTAGTATTATACACGTATAAGATAATTCCGGGAATCGAATCCAGATTTTTTTATTTGACAAGCAACTATTCTAGCACTGAGCTATCCAATCTCCCCGACATCGGACGCCAATTTGTTTCTAATCGCGGGTACACAAAGTTCCTTTCATGTTCGAATAATCGTTGTCTCGTGTCGAGGAAGGGCAGGAGAAGAGAAAGAACAAGATAAATTAAGGAAGATGATACGTTACGATCGCATTATCCCCAGGATCGACGATACGATCGCTATGATTCGGTGGAATCCGGCAGTAAAGAGGCTTACACTTTAAGTATACCGTTAATCAGACTGCAATTTTTCCCTTCCGCTATTTTAATGTGACGCAGCCGAGGCAAACATTTGGCGTTTTTCCCCGATTTACATACAACATACGTAATGAAGATAAGCGCATTCTTTTCGGCCAGATCCAGACGGACGTAACAATACAAAGTAGGTCGCCGTTAAAAGAGCCTTATTATTCATTAACGCTCGCGCTGTCGCGCCGTTGTTATAACGGACTTAATAATTTTCTAATCCCTGCATATTCACACATATGCTTATTTTCGAGCCGTCAATGTGTGTTTAACGAGTTTGCGTGAATATCGCGTGACTTTACATTTACGGAAAAAAAGAATTGATTATCAGTTAAAATCAGACAGTATCTATTATTGCCAAATTATAAAATCATTTACATTAATATCATTGCTATGAGAATTGTGATGACACAACAATTCATTTTAGTTCCAAAAGAAAAATTTCAAAGTAAATTCAAATGTACAAGTTGAGGGATATTAAAATTATGTGTGTCTATATTGAAGCTATGTCCATTAATAAAAATTATATCGTGCCAATAATAAGATTCTCGATTATTTCGTAACTAGT